GCCTCGGCCTCCCAGAGTGCTAGGATTACAGGCGTGAGCCACTGAACCTGGCCTGGTAGAGTATTGAAAGAATAGCTAGAGCTATAAACTGAAGATTAGCACAGTTAGACAGTGGCATGGAGCTCCCAGGAGCTCACCACTGCTTCTTGTTCCACAGGTAACCTCAGGAGTTGGCCCGCCTCCTTGACTGGGCTCCAAAAGTGCAGAAAGCAAGCTTCATTTTTCCCTGACACAGCTTTCCAGGCTCCTCAGTTTGCTTCCTTTAAGGGAGGGAGGGAGAGATCATGTATTCTAGCAGGTTATTTTTCTGCCATTCTTTGCTCTAAAATGAAAAATGTATATGTGCATTCTTATACGGTGTCAGGATTGTGGCCTGGCCTGGGTCCTTCCACTAGCTAGCTGTGTGGTGTTGGACAGGTCACCAGCTCTGGTGTCATTTTCTATACTGAGATAGAGAGCATTGGACCAGCTGATACTTCTCCAACATTTTATGATTCTATGTAATATCATCAGCATATCCTTAAAAGGAAAACTATTGGTTTGAATCTCAACCTTTAGTATTAATATAAATCTGAGTGTCTTTTAAACCTCCTCCACCCATATTTAATACTAAGCTCATTGAAGCCTTCCCATAGCAAATTCATCCTAAAGGGATTGGGGTTACTTACGCACAGAAAGCGAAGACTTCAGCAGATTTGCTCTTTGTCAATATATACAGAGCAGAGATTTGCTCCTTATCAAATATATATACTATTTTTCTAAATAGATACAATACTGCCATTAACTCCTCTGCTAAAGAGTAACTGTAATGTAAGGCAGCACATATAGAAATGAAGCACTGGTATCATTTCAGATTCCTATTTATTTCTCACTGATAATACTAAGCAGGCCAGGGACAGTGGCTCATGCCTGTAATCCTAGCACTCTGGGAGGCCAAGACAGGAGGATCGCTTGAGGTCAGGACTTTGAGGCCAGCCTGAGCAAGACCCCCATCTCTACAAAAAAACAGAAAAATTAGCTGGGCATGGTGGTGCGTGCCTGTAGTCCCACATACATGGGAGGCTGAGGCAGGAGGATCACTTGAGCCCAGGAATTTGAGGTTACAGTGAGCTATGACGATGATGCCATTGCACTCTACTCTACCCGGGGTGACAGAGCAAGGCTCTACTTTTTTCTTCCCAAGATTATTTGAATGTTTCCATTTTTAATGCCTGTTGTTTGGTTTTTTGTTTTTGTATTTTGCAAGATAAAGAGACTTTCTCTGCTTAGCAGGGAGAAAAGTCAAGTGTAATGATTCTCAATCAGGAGGGCCATGCCTCTATACAGGGGGAGGGCATTTCAGAAATTCTTGGAAATAAAGTTTAATAATCATATTTATATTTTTATCCTTAAAAAAAAAAAACCTCCTACTGTATAAGTAACACAATTTACAGCAACCTAAGCTTGATAAAATCATGGCCAGGGAGTGTATGCAGAAAAAGGTTGTGGAAGGCATTTTCAGTTACTTTCCTATTTCCTCCTCCTTCCTGGCCAAAAGAGCCATGATGTTGTTCTGTGACAATATCCCAAGTCAAAGTGTCAGGACTATTCCGAACCTATCATGACATCTTCCCAGCCTCCCTCGCAGTGAGAAGTGATTATGCGACTCAGTTCTGATGGGACATGAGGGTAGCGAGGAACACAGAGGCTAGAGTGGAGAGGCCACATTAAGGATTTCAAACTTTATCCTTATTCTACTCTACATGCATAGTAAATACTATTGATATCCCCATCTTAAAGAGAGAAAATCAAGACTTTAAATAGCTTGAGTGAAGTCATAGCTGCTAGGTGGATGAACTGTAATGAGTGTAGGTTTTGTTTTTGTTTTGTATTTTTTTGTAGTGTGTGGGAACTAAAGAACCCCCTGATCATCCCTGAGTGCAATCTAGCTAGAAATAAATAATGAGAGCTGATGGAATGAGTCTGTAGAGAACGGTTAAAGTTACTATAACAATATATTTTATATTTATAAAGATTGAGACATTTGTGGGAAATCTGTTTGCTATTAATAAACAAAAGATTGATCAGTGCATAATTTAAATTCCATCATTGAAAGTGGTCTCAAGAGACCACACAATTCAGATCTCTTGCCTGTGCTTTCCAAAGAAAGGTCCCCTGAATTCCACATGGTTCAAGTAACTGCTTATTTTTGTGATTTTTAGACCATTGTTTGACAAAAACAAAATAAACCACAGGAGGGGAAAACCCAATCTATAACAAAGTCTCAACATAAGAGATACAATGGTATTAGATACACGCAAAAAACAACAACAACAAAAAAACACAACAAAACACTCAAAAACCCCCAGATACCACAGTGAACTGTTCATTTATTCCGTGTAACTGCTACTCCTGGTAATGCTAATATTTGCAGGTGGTGTTGGTATGGGATGGTACAGAGCAGTGTTTTTCAAACTGTGGGTTGAACCTAATATTTTAAAAAA